TATCAATTATATGGAATTACCTGAGTAACTGGTACACCTGTTGTTTCTGAAATATTTTTGTCCTATTTGGCATATTACAGACAGTATTTTTCTGACTATATTCTTTTCCTAGGAAAAAGTTTATGCTTCATAGAAAACGCCTAATAAATTCTGAAGAACACATGATCTTTTTTAAATGTTCACTCAATTACAAGGCCCAGGTAGTGGGTTACTGAATGAGGTTCTCTTATGGATGTAGAAGGGGGAGATAAGTACAGATTAGGAGAAGATATAGGATTGATAATGGTTGACACTAGACACCAGCCCAAAGAGTTTAAGATTGTAATGTTTGGGGAAATATCCTCTCTGGAGTCTTTTCCACAAATTTAAACAACAACAAGAATCAAAAAAATGTTCAATTGTTAGAGCAATATTGGTTATTTCCAATATATTGATCAGTTTTAGCCACTTTGCAAAAATTACTTACTAAAATCTTGTTTATTTTAAGCTGGTAAACAGACAGAATCTATCAAATTGTATTTTTTTAATGTTTAATTTCATTTCATTGTTGCTCAAGAAAATTACACCCTTGTGCAAATTAAGTGAAACAAAATGAATAATTCTGTTATTTACTTTTTTTATGTTTTTCCAATGAAACATAAGCCAATGCCCATGGTAGTACTTTGTATGTCCATTCCACAAAGTCATTCCTTGTACATGGACCACAGATTCTCAATTGGATTTAAATCAGGAGAGTTTCCAGGCTAGTTTATATCATTTGATTACTGGTAAGGCCTGCCAGTGTGTTTGTGCAGCGTTACAATTTTCATACACTTCCTTGGAGTAATGTCCATCATAGATAATGGCCATAAGACAACTAATCGACAGTTGAGACAATAGTGTCTTGGCATGATGAAAATCTGATGCAATCACAGATGAAACAATATTTTTAAGGCCAAACTAATTTCATCTTACACCTTGAAAATAGATTCATATTATTGCACACCACTGAAAATAACCTAATCTGAGGAAAAAATAGAAGTTGATTGCACCCTGTCACTCAAGGGGTTCTAAAACTGCCTGCATGGTGAAAGAATAGAAACTGATTATTTCAATTAATTTGCACAAGGGTGTAATTTACTGTGAAAAGCAAAATAAGTGTAAATGATAGTAAACTAATTGACCAATTTTTAATCATTTCATCTGAAGCAAGGCAAGGCAATAAAGCCACTAGGATGCTAGGGGTTACCAAGTTTTAAAGAACAATTTAAATTTCTACTAATATCTTCTCTATAAGTTTCATCGGAGTGAAGGAATGTGCAAGGATATTTTTTAAATAAATATTTTGTACATTTCACTGTTTGTTACATCAGGCTTTCCAAACATTTTGGAAAATTGACCCTGGCAAAACATGATTTTCTATAATTCTAATTTTCTGGTGCTTTCAAAATAATCATTTTATGGGTCATACAAAAATTGTAGCAGTTAAGTCTACACTATATTTGTACACTATTCAAATTACACACACTTTGGGAAAGCACTTTTGTATCTGATATGTTCAAATTTAGAATAAGATTATCATAATGTGTAGTAATGGTTCTTAACCTTTTTTGTTGCATATACACCCTTTTCACCATATTTCTAAATACCATTTCTCCTATTCCAAGATTGTCTATAATAACAGGATTACTTAAAATAACCTTATTGATGGCTGTTTCATTTAAATATCAAAATTATATTAATATTATAATGATTCAATAGTTGAATTCATTAAAATATATACACTGAAGCTTCCTTTGATATTTATCATTGGTGCCAGATTTATTTTCTTAATCTGTTTTGACCTTTTTGTTTAGAATACAACGGAAAAGACGCTTTTGATTTTTTTATAGTCTTGTTAACTTTTTGAAGGGTGGAGGAGGCATAGTGTAGTAAAGGATAGAGGCTCAGACTGAGGAATCGGAAAGCCAAGTTTGATTTCCAGTAAAGTTCATTGCATTCACTTACGTGCTAATACTCTGCGAAATAAAAGAATCCATTTCTTCTTCCCCTCGCCATGGTTAAATAACAGGACAGACTTGGCTCTATAGCCTTAGTTGGCAACCAGTCTAGGAAAAGGAAATTTCTGAATTCAAACCACCTGCTGCCTTATAGGTCCTGCCTCTAGAAGGTAACTTCAAAGAAAAAAAAAATCCACCATGCGTCTTGAAGAAAGGGACCGATATTCATATAGTGGTATAGGCACATCACTGTCAAATTAAATATACATGTTATTACTTTGGGATAAAATGATTAAATAAAAAAAAAAAAAAAATTTAAATTTGTACAAAAAATGTAGAAAATCAATTGAAAAATACACTTTCATCTTAAAATTCTATAAAAATTTAACTAATTTCTGGGATTTAACAAAACTTTTTACATTTATTCATTGATTACTGAAGGAATTTGCATTTTTAATGAAAAGGATATAGTGATTTTCCAAGCGTAGCTTAGATGTGGTACAAGGCCAAAAGCATGGGGCACCCAGTGATGATCAAACTCACTAAACAGTCATAATTGATCTAGCGAGACAAGCTTGCTAACCATTACACTGCCTTGGGGCACCCATAATGAAAAGGATATAATCATAACTTTAGAATATTGTAAGTCAAGCAATTTTAAGTTGGGAATGATCTGTACAATAAATTTTGAATATGATTCAGAGCAGTTCTTTATGACTGGGTTATTTTCAGTATCTGTCTATATTTCTGAGATGAGGTAATATGTACACTATTTACATTATTCAGACTATCGTCTTCATCTTTGTCGCCATATTCATCACAAAGTTTCGGCCTTTGTACGCTCCAGCCTTCTTCACGTGGTTGGAATGTCAAACTGAAACCTTTATTTCGTTCACTGGGGTAGACTGTTCTAGTTCCATGTCTGATAACTGACATCCATTAGACGTGGCATGTGGAACTAGAACAGTCTACCCCAGTGGGCAAAATAAAGGGTTCAGTTCAACATTCCAACCACCTGAAGAAGGCCAGAGCATACAATGGCCAAAACATTGTGATGAATATGGCAACAAAGGTAAGGGCAATAGTCCGAATAATGTAAATAGTGGGTTACTTTCATCTTTGATTTAAAAATGCATTCTTTTTCTCTTATCTATCATCTCCAGAGACATCAGATACATTGTTTTCATTAAGCCCAGTCCGCATATGTATGTATATCTTTGTAAAATCTGCATGATTTTAAAGGTGTAAATATTTAAATGTGAAAGTTGGCTTGAAAGGTACAAGAATAAAATTTTCCCTCAATCAACAATCTTGAAATAATTAATTCTAATCTTAGAAATAGTTTCCAAGATTTGTGAAATCTTTCCTTATCGCACATGAATGATAAACACAAAAATAAAAAATATATATCATAGAAGAAACACAGTAAAAATTTAAAAAAAATATTAACTATTTAATTATCATCATTAACCACAACTGCATATTTTAAAATTACAAACACAATTTTAAATATTTTGACATTTAGTTTAGAAAGAAAATTACTGATTTTTCTATCTCCTCTCAAAGGAGAGTGACTATGAATTTATATTATTTCAGACTGCAGTACATTAAACCAATGCTAAATAGACAAACTGTCATGAAAAGGGGTGCAAAAAAAATGTTAACTTACCATATTAATGTGCAAACATGTTTATGGAGAAACATCTGAGTTGACCATTGTTAAAAATAATTAATTTTTCAATTGTTTACAGACAGCTATAAATGTCAAGGTTTAGCTTTTTTTTTTTTTTTATTAGTTTCAGTAATGCATCTCCATATATAAATTTTAATCACATTTAGAAATATGATTGCCAGATTGGTCTACATTTGTAAGTGCAGTGCCACTAAATTTTGAATTGACTTTTTAGTAGTTCAATTTAACCTAGCTTATTTAAAAAGTACCCCCCACCCCCAAAAGTTACAAGTAGGGAAATTCAAAATTTAGTAAGTTTCAAAAGTAGCCAATCTTATACCGCTACCAAGTTCTGTCTGATAATCAACTAATATAGAAAATACTAAAAGGAATATTTTGATATAGTTTATAAAAAGCTCTCTGGTTAGTCTATGTGTGTTCTTATCTATTTCAATATATATAAAGTATTTATTAAATCAAGTTTGAATAAACAACATATTTAATTTCAAGTCTAATGTCAGGCAATCATTTTTATTATTTTATGTAAATGGAGAATTATAGATGCATAAAGTCACACATGTCTAAATTGAATTAATATTAACACTTAATTGTAGTATACTATTGTATAATACTAATTACATTATACTACTGTATAAAAAATATCTGTGAAGAAATTTATTCATGCAACCTTTGTCAAATAGTAGAATGTTGTATTATGGTTTTTAAAAACTAACAGTATATCAGGCGGTTACATTAACTGTTCCATAACCATCATAAATAGTACATAATAATATTGACTACAGTAATATCACACACACACACACACACACACACACACACACACACACACACACACACATATATATATATATATATATATATATATATATCATATTTAACAACAGTTTTAAAAAATATGAATGTGATTAAAACTGACAGGTTATTTTTGAAAAGGTGTATTTTTATAAACAAACTGATGTTTATGTCTCTTCTTTCAAAGAGTGATCGATAACTTATTATGCTAAAATGATTGTACTAAAAATAAAAGGACTTTGGTCTTTTTGATCCCATCTGAAATTATTGACATGACAAATTGGGTTCACCAAGTTTTTTTCTTGCATGCCTTGCATGATTATAAATACAGAATGATTTTGGCAATCTTAGATGTTTTTATGTGCATCTTGGTCTTTGTGTATTTTAATAGTATATTCATCTTGTACAGATTTTTATTTATGTTGTCATTTTTGGTTCATGCCCACGGTGGGGAGAAAGGTGAAACCTGCCTCTACCGAATTTGTTGTCCTTTGTCATTGAATATAATCCAAGTAAATTTGGAAATTGTCTTTCAGAATACCGGCATCAGACTTCAGATGTCAAAAGACCTCCACCAACAGAAAAGGAAAAAAGGCGGAAAGAAGAAGAAGAAGCATATAGGAAAAAAAGATTGGTATGTATATTATTTTATAACTTATAGAGAAGAAATATAGAAATTCTTGTTGATTTTTATCTATCTATATATAATTTATATTTATACAAGGATGCAGTGGAAAGTCTTAAATTGTGGACCAGATCATAATCATTGTCATAGAGTCCACAACAACACACGGCAATTAACCTTTATCACTCTGTATGTGACTTTATTTGCTGTACAAAAAGTTTATCCTGCCACAGATGGTAACTCTGATCCCTGAACAGTAGTATATTTGAATTTCATAGTTGTGTTGTCATATCCTGCTATGGCAACAGAAAACAACTTTGAGTGAAATTAACTCTAAGGATACTGCAATTGAGAGGCTTTGAAAAAGAATGCAGTGGAAAAGGAAATATTAATAACTAGCATTTGAGCCTGGCATTGCCCGGGGATGTAACAGTAAGAGATAGATCAAGTATCGACCATAATAAAGACTGAAAAATAAAATTGACAAAGATTATTGTTTAAGGTTGACAGACACGCATGTCTTAATTAGTTTTTTTTTTTTTTTTTTTTTAAATTGTTCAAACTCAAACAAAAGCATTGTTTTCAATCGTTATGAGTCTACCGATTGAATAGAATTTTATTATAAACAATTGTCTTGTAAATGGAATTTTTAATGCATTCTAAATGTAAAAATAAAGAAAAAAGTCTGCAAGACAATAAGAAACACTACCTGCCAAAAAAAAAAGTGAAGTTTTGTTGAAATCGGTTGAAAAATGTAGGAAATCCGATCCTATATATAAATGAACACACACACACAACCAACCAACCAACCTGGGTTTTATAATAAGTATAACTCAATATGAGTTGTCACCCTTTCATTAATGCCTCTTAATTGTGTTTTCAAATTGATTTTGTGCAAAAACAATTGTGTTTTTCCAATTTATGATGCTGTCAGAACCACCGCAAGGTAATTTTATGTAGTCCTGTGAAGTTTTGTTGAAATCGGTTGAAAAATGTAGGAAATCCGACCCAATATATAAACGTACAGACACACACACACACACAATCTGCGTTTTATAATAAGTAAGATGTAGAGTGCTAAAGATTAATTGTGAATGTTATCATCCTTTCTATACCGTCCTGGGTATGATGATAAACTACATCCAACAGCAAGGCTTCTGATCAGGAGGTTTTGAGGAGCATGGAGCCACCTCTTAATTGCTAGTGTTCCCAGGATAGTAGCACCTGTTAGGGTCCCAGCTATGGGTAAATAGTTAACCCCATAACTGGGGCCAAAACACTATGAAAGTGTAAAAATAGGTCTTAATACCAGAAATACTTTATGTATATTATTCGGACTATTGTCCTCATGTTTCTCACCATATTTATTACAACGTTTCATCCATTGTATGCTCCAGCCTTCTTCAGGTGGTTGGAATGTCGAACTGAACCCTTTATTTTGCTCACTGGGGTAGACTGTTCTAGTTCCACGTGCCATGTTTAATGGGTGTCAGTTATCAGTTATCTCCTGTTAATTCCCCTCTCCAAGTTCTCCACTGCCTTAGCTGGGTATTGAACTCACACTGTTCGGGTCCTGTCACTGGAACTAACCAACACCTTTATCCACTGTGCTATGTGTCCTTGAACTAGAACAGTCTACCCCAGTGAGCGAAATAAAGGGTTCAGTTTGACATTCCAACCACCTGAAGAAGGCTTGAGCGTACAATGGCTGAAATGTTGTAATATGGCAACAAAGATGAGGGCAATAGTCTCAATAATGTAGATAGTGTACATAATGCCTCATTTCAGAAATATAGACAGATACAGAAATACTTTGTAAAAAAAATTGTTACCAGCAATACTTTTTTTAAAAAAAAAAATTACTAAGCTATACATTTTTTGGAAAAAATATTACCAGAAATAGATTTTTTTGAAGGAAAAATATTACTAGCAATACATGTTTGAAAAAAAATATTACCAACAATAAAAATTGTCGGCATTAAATAACCCATTGTGGTTGATATGCCGTAAACCAAACCAAACCTTTCTATGACTCTATAGTATGCATTATGCTATATTACATACAGTTTTGAATTCAAAGTTGTATTTGTCATAGACTGGTTGCCAGAAATTTAAAATATATATGATTTATGCAAGAGTGGGTGGAATGAGGTTTAACAAATGGTCTGGCACATAAAATTTTTTATCCAAAATATATCAAGCTATTTTGAATATCTCCAGAACCGGTTGTATGCAGATTGATGCAATTTGGCAACAGAATTGCCTGGTTTTAATAACTGCAAAAGTCTGTGCTAATGGACCACTTTTGCTCCTTTTATTTATAATTTACAATGAAATTACTTTGCAGCATATGTATGTCATTAATTTAATGTTTATATATTTGCATAGTCAATTTATTTCAACTTCAGTTGAATGCATTCACTGCTTGAAAAAACACCACAAAAAAAAATATGGTGACTCTGCTGTGGGTGGTGATGTTTTTATTATATTTGACTGTACATAGGAACCG